AGAGCAGGCTCCCCTTGACCATCTGCGGGGGAGAGGTGCCCACAGGTTGATGGTCTATGGAATGCCCTGGGCTTCCTGTCTCAGAAAACCGACTGGGGCAAACCTCAGGAACACCAGTGGGTTGTGCACCTGGAGAGAAGCCATTCTGTCTTCATGCCTGCAATCTGGGCAATTGAGACACTCCTCCTCCTCCTCCTCCCCCTTCTCCTCCCCTTCTCCTTCTCCTCCTCCTCTTCCCCCTTCTCCTCCTCCTCTCCTTCTCCTCCCCTTCTCCTCCCCTTCTCTATGCATCAGTTTATTGTGTTCATTTGATTTCTTTTTCATTTATTTTGCTTTTTAGATATAATTGTTGATAGATATATATTTATTGCCATATTTTTAATATTTTTCCTCCTCTCTTCCCCCTTCTCCTCCTCCTCCTCCTCCCTTGTCATTTCTCTCTGCTCCAGGGGCAAAGGGAGGCAAAGGATGTCTGCTTCATTAAAAGCTACAGCAAACTCCAAGCCTCATCTAACTTCATTAGTTCTACCCCTTTTTCCAGTTTTGCACACAAGTCTCTGATGGGTGAGTCAGAGGCCCTCCTCGGCCTTTCCAGATGGGGCTCACCAGCCTGTGATGAGAAGACCCCAGTCCAAACCCAGGAGGCAGGAGAAGGAAGGGAAGAGCCTGCAGGTCCAACGCAGCATGGGCCAGCCCTGGGGCAGGGAGCCTGCTGCTCTCTTCCAACTCCCGGGGAGCCGTGGGTGAGCCCCGGTGTCTGCTCCCCATGAGGGCCTCAGGGTGCTGTTCTGATGATCTCTAACGACACTTGCCCTCCTCATGGGTGACCCTCGGTGCTGGAATGAGGGCACCAATCAGGCCACAGGGGCTGACCCACGCGTGTCCACCAGGTGGGCCTTTTCCCTCTGCACTTCAGCCACATTTTGGGTTTGGGCACAGCCAGCCCTTCCGGACGCCTCTCTGGGCTCCAGTTCTGCCCCCTTCGCCCACCAGGATGTCACCTCACTGACAGGTGTGAGTGGTGGGCTTCTGGCTGAGACATCCTGGGGACAAGAGCTCCTGTGAGCGGGCTGGCCACTGGCAAAGCCCCTGAGCTTCTCCACTTCCACCCCCAGGAAGGCCAGCCCCTGGAAGGACTGAGGTACACTCCTGTGGCGGAACCCGGGGATGATGAGAGACGCTTGTCCTCCAGGAGGCTGGCCAGGTGTGCAGACAGAGCCTCTAGAAACCATCACGCTCAGGAGCCAGACGTCAGGGTCACGGGGTGCACTAGTGCCACCCTGGAAGGTCTGGGCCAGCGCAGGCTGGACCCGCTGCACCCACACAGCCCTCCGCCCCTCCTCCCCCACCCTTCGCTGGTGGCAAGGACCAGGATGCTGATCTGGGCGACGGGAAGCGGCAGTGTCTGCCCAGTCCACACACACAGCACCACGGAGCCTCTGCTCCACTGACCAGCCCTCTGTTTCGTGTCCACAGTGACTCTTCCTACTTTGCATTTATCTTAAGAAGTAATTGTTGGGCTCTTGCCAGACCAAATTACTTATTCATTTAATTTAAATGACTGGGTAACTCCTCCTCATCCTTCAGGCTGCAAGACCTCCCCTCTGGGAGGCCCCGGTCTCCTCCTGCTCCGGGTGTCCTCTGTGGTCCCTGCTGCTGGCCCCGCCCTCCCACCAAGCTGCCAGTGAGACCAGCACCTCCTCTCCTGGAGCCTGGCCTGGCCCGGAGCCCGCTGGGGTGGGGGGAGCAAGCAGTGCACCGGTCGGCGCCAAGGAGAGGGGGTGAATAGACAAGTGTGCGCTAACTCTCATCACCTGGAGCAGGTCACCTCCAACCCCAGGCCCCGGGCTGCCTGACGAGGTGCCCACCTCTGGGAGAAGAGGTCCCGGTAGGGGCTGCCGTGCTGCAGGGCGATGCCATAGCCCTTGCTGCTGACGCTGTTGCTGACCACGGTCACCGCGCAGTCGTCATCGGTCAGGGCCGCGTACTCCACCACCGCCACATCCCACAGGAAGGCGTAGTTCCCCTTCTTTGCCTGAAAGAGAAGACCGCGCAGTCAGCCAGGCCAGCCTGCTGTACTCCCTTCAGGCAGCGAGGCTCCTCGATGGTCGGACTTGAGGGGCCTCCGAAATCGCCCCCTTGCCAGCCAGCACCGCGCACTCTCCTGGTGCTCTGGCCACAGGTCCGCCACACCACGCCGACGCCATGGCTGGCTGGGGTCAGACAGATGGGGTGATGCCTCCTCTGCAGGCTCCGTGCACACACCTCAGGGCATGGACCTACCCTCGGCACAGGCTTGCCCTGGCCCCAGGGAACTGAGATTTTTCCCACCAGAGATCTAGGGGGAGCATAGAAGCTTCCATTTACTATTTATCCATGGAACCTGGCTGAGCCTGCTGGGTGGACAGGGGAGATACCCCAGGCTCAGCGCTCCCAAGGGGCAGTGACTCACCATCTAAGTCAGACACTTGTGATGGGTGAAGCATAGTAACCTCCATCTTGTATAAAACTGCTGTTTGAAATTCTCTGCTACTGTGAGATAGTCCCTTGCTCTGTAAACTCTGTCATTTTTAGACCTATTTTATGGTCTCTTATTCTATAAAATAACTGTTTTAGTTTGAATAATAGAAAAAGATAAAAACTTAACTGCCTGACCTTGCAAGCTAGCCGTCTAACGTAATGGACTGATACTGATAACAATTCCCATATTCTTATGCCAAATGTTTGTTCTTTATGTGTCCAAGATTACAAACTGTCTGTAACAATAACTCACACAGAGCCCTTTGTAAAAACTGCAAAGAAGCTCGAAAGGTATAAATACAAAACACTTCCTCTGTGTCTTCATCAGAGATTTGGAAGAAACACCTCCCTCTGAACAATTCCTAATTAATTGGCTCATTAAGGTGTCTTGTATCTCACTCGCTGATTTACGACACAACATGGGGAGGAACCATGAAGGATGGGCTCCTGCTGTTAGGGTGTCTGCCTGGGTTTCTGCCACTGGCCTTTCACTGCCCACACAAGAGAGCCCACGTGCACACACATGCACCGCCGTCCGCCTCCCTCGGCAGGTGCTCCCAGAGCCAGAGCTCTGCCTGTGCCGGAGGCCAGCGCACGGGAAGAGTGTGAGCTGCTTTGCATTTTGGAAGGAGAGGCAAAGTCGACACTGTCCCTTGGCCAGCTTTTAAAACAGAGCAGGGTGTTCTCAGTGCAGCCAAGTCTGGCTTATTCCTACGGAGAGCATGTGCTCTTTGCCTCTCCCCGCGCCTCCCACGGGAGCTGGGAGACACAAGCCGGGCTGGTGGGGAGGCCGATATACCGCAGACAGGAAGGCCGGGTGGCAAGCGGCAGCTTCATCGCGCTGTCAGCGTGTCCCTGTCGCCCTCCTTGAGTCTTTGTCCACTGAGACTCTCCGAAGGGAACCACCGCTGCCTCCATGAAGCTGGTTGAGACTGGACTCCTTTTGGGGCCCGGAGTGCCTGGGCCAGCATGGCTCATTTTCTCACCAGCAGCTTCCCATCAGGGCGGTGTGAACAGCATGTGGCACTCCCAGAACAGGCTGTGCCCAGCGCGCACAATGCTGCCCAACGGTCCTCTAAGAAATGACAAGCCCGTGCCACCCAGAGCTTCACCTCGGGAAGCAATTCCAGGAAGTCAGACCCTCACTCCCAGCCACGCCAATTCCAGAAGTCCCTAAAGCACTTTGCAAAGTCACCTCATCTCTCCCCTCCCCGTGGAGGTAGCAGTCTGTGAAATTCTTTCCTGCTGGCAAACGTGTTTTCTCAAGGAAAGAAATATTGTCCGCCTCTTAGCAATGAAGTTTTTCAGCAAAATGTTGACTTATGGCCTGATATCTGGCTTCAGCCTGACGGAGGCATTTTTCATCCACACGTGCAATTCACCATGACAATCAGACACTGTTATTTGTGTGATTTCAAAAGGGCATGTCTTGCTGAAGGAAGAATTAAGATTATGTTTCCGTCTACCTTTCAGGTAATTCCACAAAGGAAAAGGAAAGGCGCTGGGCCAGCCAGTGGACACACGCGGACAGCAGCGGCCCGGCCCTGTGGATGGCACCCCCTCTCCTCCGGGCCCAGGAGGGCGGCTTCGGTTTGGGCTACATGACAGGTGAGCACAGTCGCCTGAAGGGAGTTGCATTTACAGTCCTGCAGGCTCAGCCCTGTCCTGGCTGCAAGCGCAGGCCGCCAGCAGGTAGCGGGAAGGGGAGGTGGGAGTCTCCTCTCTGGCTGCTGCGGGCTCAGACCTCAGCCTCCTCATTTGTAAGCAGGGACTCAGTTTCCTAGGGCCGTGGTCGGCAAACCGCTGCTCGCGAGCCACACGCAGCTCTTTGGCCCCTTGAGTGTGGCTCTTCCACAAAATACCGACTTCTGTGCATGGGCCACGAAGTACATATGCAAACCACATGGCCAAGGAGCTGCATGAGGCTCGGGAGCCACGGTTTGCTGAGCCACAGTTTGCCGACCACTGTCCTAGGGTATCTCTTACGTCTGCTTCCAGAGGCACAGGCTGACCCAGAGCTGCCCGTACCGGCAGAGGAGGGACCCGAGGGGCCCTGGGCCGCAGCCTGCACTCAGGCCAAGTCAGGGGCCCTGACTCCCATGGAACACTGTCTCCTCAGCCTCCCTCACGCCTTCCTCAGTGCCCTCGGGCTTCCTGACTCCTCTCTCAGCTCCCTGTGAGGATAATGCAGCACCGGGACCTCCTGGGTGTCTCAGGTTCACGAGTTCCAATGACAACCTTCTGGAAGCCATGAAGGCCACCTGGGCATTCTGCAAAGCTCCCACTCTCCTGCTGGGCCACAGACCTGCATGCGCCAGAGGCTCCTTAGCGCGGACTGTTCTTGGGCATCCCAGACTCTGAGAAGCCCGCACAGTCCGCCCATCATGACTGTGCCCCACCAGGGACCCCCGTCTTGCCCCATGCAGAATGAGCAGGACACCCCAACTTCCAAGATGCAGCTCCTTGTTGGATCAGAACCAGTTCCTCACGTGCCCCTGGTAATCATGTGCCCACCTTCTAACTCGATGCTGCCACCCACTAGCTCTGGTTTCTCCATGTGGAGGGACAGCAAATGGACCATCTGCCTCCAAGGAGCTAAGCCCTTCCTCAGGCTCCACCCTATAGCTCCTCCTCCTCCTTTCGTGAGTCGGAGCATTTACCCCGCTTTGCTCAGAGGTCCAGCTTCCTCCCTGTGGGCCCAGCCCATCCACCCTCTCCTCCCCTGGGAAGGCGTCCCTGCCTTCCCCCGGCTCCCCCAGCTCCACGTTGGAGGCCTGTCCACTTTGAGACAGTTTCCAGTCCTACTTTAGTAACTGCTCCTTTTTGCTGTGGGTTTTCCCGTCTCTTGGGAAGACAAACTTTACTCCCTTCTCAATTGTGCTCCATCAGCTGTTCCTCCAGAGCAAGAAGGGTGAATCCAGCCCCCACCCAGGAGCTGGGCGCCTGGGCTGAGCGACACAACAGACCATTAGAGTTGGCTATTTGGCCACTTCCTGTTCATTCCAGCTCATTCTTCCTTGGGCCTCTCAGTCCCATTCCTCCCCTGCTTCCCAGGTGGCTGGGGGAATGAATGGGGAATGCTGACTATTCACAAATAGGCCATTGATGTAGATTCCCTGATGCCTAAAGGACAAAGTGACCCCATAGATTTGTGTTCTGCATTACAACAAAACAAAACAAAAATACTGTATTTCACCTCCTTAGTGGGTTAGATGGCCTTTACCAGGCTTGCTCATTTACAATATTCAATGTATTCCTCATTTCTAATTAGGGACTCAGCACATGTCTGCGTGTGCCTCAGTATGTTGGAGTGCAGCTGGTGGAAAGTAAGGCTGGATCAAGGCCTGGGAACCAGCCAGCCCTTCCATACCTAGGGCTCTACACAATCTCAGGCGACCTTCACCCCCCCCCCACCTGGGGCTCTACACAATCTCAGGTGACCTTCACCCCCAACCCCCTACCTGGGGCTCTACACAAGCCCAGGAGGGCAAAGAAAGCAGGAGCGCTCCAGGCCAGCTCTGGGTCCTGGGAGTGGAGCCCCAGTTCCTCCAGGAGCTAGGAAAAGCATTTGCAGGTGCATTTGCAGTGGAGGCCTGAAAGGTAACATAGCCTAGAAATGCAATTTGCTGCCTCCACACGTGTTTTTAACATTGACAGTGCCCAGGGTTAGTGAGGATTTGATAATGTGGACGAGGTCCTCCATGGCACTGGGCATCGCAGGTGGCACAATCTGTTGGCAGGTGAGGTGGCAAACACAGCGTGACTATCTGAGCTGCTCACCATCTCTATCCTGGCAACTGCGCCTTTAACTGGAAACGTAAGGCACGGGCATCTCTGTATCTTAAAGACAGAACAATTGTTCTAAATCCAATGTTGCCTATAAGTAAGCATGGGAACAGTTTCAACATTTAATTTAGGGAAATAATCTAATAAATTATGGTTCACAAGTTACATGGGGATTTGTGCAACAGATAGTAATTATAAAGACCACTCAGAAAGACAGAAACACCTATAAGAAAGGGGTGGACATGGGTACACTGTCACTGCTGTTCCCGATACACGTGAAATGTGATGTGCCCACAGGTGGGCAGGAGCCCATCTGGCATGGCTCAGTGGTTTAGTGTCGACCCATGAACCAGGAGGTCAGGGTTTAAGGTCAGGGCAAGGTCAGGGGTCAAGGTTTCGGACCACTCTCCCCTCCCTTCCTCTCTGAAATCAGTCTATATATATATATAAAGGATTATTACAAACCTGAGTGGGATCAGTGATGAGTCTTAGGACAAAGTGATTAAAATGTCTTCTTTAACCCTGTTATCCAAGCTAAGACATCACCCAGTCCATAGACACCAAATCTGACATTCCTCTCCCTGTGGGCCTGGGCACTGGAGGCACCCTTGCCCCCTTCCTCTCTGAAATCAGTCTATATATATATATAAAGGATTATTACAAACCTGAGTGGGATCAGTGATGAGTCTTAGGACAAAGTGATTAAAATGTCTTCTTTAACCCTGTTAT